GAGGCTGGGGAGAGAAACCTCGCTCAGCAGCCAGCTCTTTCCTGTTCTCTTGGGTCCTCTAGTGGCAGGTATTGAGATTCCTGTGACTAATCAGACTAGATGGACTTGTCTGTCTTCCTTAGCCCCAGGTTCAATTTATTTTCTATCCTCTTTTAAGAAAAGCTAAGCAGAGCAACAGGTTTAAAGGGATAAAATATGAGAAAGAAGGAAAGAGGCACCCAAGGTGAGTTCCCAGGAGTGTCTATTTTCCAGGCACTGAAGCCTTTTTCTTTCTTTATGGCTCCCACTTTCTTCTTTTCAAAAATCTCAGATTTTGAAAACAGACCTTTCATGCCACAAGTTTAGTGAGCTTTCAGGGCCCACAGTGTCTGCACGTGGAGCCACAAAACCCATGTTTGATCCTATTTAACTTTGTATGTGTAGGCTCAAGGGCATACAAGGATTCCAGTGAGTGCTGAGCACGAATACCAAATTAACACTTACTGAGCTCGTTCTGGGTGCTGGACACTGTGCTTGGCTCATTCACATGCATTATCTCCTTTAAATCCTCCCCAAACCCCGGGAAGGGGGTCTCTTTATCCCCATTTCAAAGATTTTAAAACAGGCCAGAATAGGTAAGTTTGTTCTCACACTGCTATAAATAAATACCTGAAACTGGGTAATTTATAAAGGAAAGAGGTTTAATTGACTCACAGTTCCACATGGCTGGGGAGGCCTCAGGAAACTCACAGTCAAGGCAGGAGGTGAAGAGGAAGTAAGGACCTTCTTCACATAGCAGCAAGAGAGAGAAGATTAAGCAGGGGAAATGCCAGAAGCTTATAAAACCATCAGATCTTGTGAGAACTCACTCACTATCACAAGAACAGCATGGGGGAAATGCCCCCATAAGCCAATCATCTCCCATCAGATTCCTCCCTTGACATATGGGATTACAATTCAAGATGAGATTTGGGTGGGGACACAGACCCAAACCATATCAATAGGTAAGTGACCCGCTCAAATTAGCATAGCAAAACACTCCTAAATCTCTCCTAGTGCAGTGGTTCTCCCGGTGTGATCGTGGACCAGCAGCATCAGTATAACCTGAAGCTTGTTAGGGAACATTCTTGGGCCCCACCTCTATCTGGGATGAGCCCAACAATCTGTTTTAACAATCCCCCCCAGGTGATTGTGATGCACACTCAAGTTTGAGTCATCAGACCACTCTTCAAGCCCAACCTTAGTATGACAGTTAAGAAAACAGAGGTTTTGCCACCAAAAAAAAAAAAAAAGACATTATGTGAAGCAGTGGATATGTTATTTAGCTTGATTTAATCATTTTGCAATGTACACATACAACAAAACATCACATTATTTTACATTGTAAATGATATACACATTTTATTTGTCAATTATACCTTTATAAAGCTGCGGGTTTGGGGGGAGGAGGAAAAAACAGAGGTTTGAAGAGATGAAGCAATTGGCCAGGGGTAATAGAGTTGGAACTGAAACCCAGTACAGCCACTATCAGAAGTCAAATTTTCCCACCTGGATAGCTTAAACTGTTCCTTTCTTGGAGAGTAAAGACTAAAGCCCTTAGTACAACTAAGCACTAAACTGTGTTGCCTTCCAGCAATATTAGCTGGGATCTGAACCTGGGCAGCCACAAGGAGACTTTCCCCTCAAGCCCTGGAAGCTTCATCCCAAGACTCTGCTAAACTGTCTGCCCCAATACACAGAGTATTTGCCTCATCAGCACTGCCCAGCCAGGAAGGGGACAAGAGGGAAGACTGTCAGGGACCATACCCAGAGTTGAGATGGCATTTGCACAAACCTCAACTATCAGCACACAACACTTGGGGAAGAAAGGTGGTGCCTTCATTTTTCAAAATCTTTATTTCCAAGTCAGTGTGTCAAATTCTCACTTTCAGCTATACCCTCTGGCATTATTAGTAACTGACATTAATCCAGCGACAATCTAGAGTGTTTGCAGGCCATACTTAGGGATCGCAGCCTGATTGGAAGACAAGGCCCAGGGACATGTCTTGAAGCTGCATTTGAACCACAAGTATGCTTTTTATGTGAGTTTATAGATGATATACTTATTTGGGGTGGGGTGATAAAGTAAGACTTAAAGTTTTCCCAAGCCACTCCTTGCTGCTGCATTGGAGACCAGCAATCCACCAGCAATTTTTTATAGGCTTTCTCTCTCCAGGCCAGTTTCTTCATCTCTAAAATGGACAGAATCCTTCAGTTTTTTGGGTTAAGCCTGGCAAATAAGAACAGTTATTGCTGATGTAACAGGGAGTCTGGTGGAGACTGAAACATAAAAACATTTGAAATTTTTTTGAAAAACACCCATCATTGATAAACATGTAAATAATTCATATATTTGGAAATGGAAAGTAGAACTTAGCTTTAGAGCAGACTGTCCCTTTGCTCTGAAAAGAACTACTTAAATGAAAATACTAAATGCAAATATTAAACAAGTACACACATTTTGTCCTGGTGGTAGTTTGTATATATTTGCCTCCACCTTATAGAGAGCTAGAAAAGATTTCTGGGGAAAGTGGAATTAAGTATCTAACCCCTTCCTTTTGAGAATCAACATTATTAGAATATGTCTGAGAAAAACTGTGGTTATGCTGAGGCCAAGGGTCAGGAAAAGACAACAGAAGCCACAGACAGGAGACATCACAAGGAAGAGGTAATCTAGGTTGGTGACAAAAATGCCTAATTTCACTGAGGTCAGAAAGTCCACGCTCAACATGAGACCTCATTTCCCTAGCAAGGGACAAAAGGCATAGCAGGATAAGCAATGATTCCTGAACCACTGTCAATAAGGCTGGGGGTCCTTGAGAATAGTGAGGGTCAAGAACCCCAAGAAAAGACTGGACCTCCTGATAATTTGGCACATTGGGCTTATTGACATTGTCACTTGTATCTTGTTTGGTAAGAGCTGATGACCATATTTCCTAGCCCTAAACTCCAAATACCCTCCAAGTATGACCAAGGAAAAAGAGAAGGAAGTAATGAAAGCTATCACTAACACTTATGATGGCACCACTCAGTGGTAATGGCCCTACAGAGGAGCTGTAAGGTAACCTTGATTCTGCTCTGATTTATTCATTGATAAACTCTTCCCATACCTGAGTAGTTTACTTGTAGTAATTTATGCACAACAAATCTCACAGCTGATCATGCCACCACAGGTAAGGACAATTGCAGAAGAGAATATTTACCATTTAGCATTGTCATCAAAATCAACCATCTTTTTTGGAAGAAAGGATAGCTACAGAATAGTACACAGTTGTATTAAGGGTACCAGTAAATAAATAAATAAATAAATAAATAAATAAATACTAATGGATTTCTTGTCTCAATTGCTAAAGGGTTGGCATATACCTGCATGCACCTGCAGTCTTCTTCCTACAGCACCAAGTGTTACAAGGAAACAGAAATAAGTCCTGATATTCAATGTATAACTTAATCTCTTTCAGAAACCAGGACACTGCTATATGTTACAACTAACAGATCAAATGACGCTCATGGGCATCAATACATTTTCTCTATTAAAGAGCACCAAGAGAATGCGAACAAAACAGATGATAGTAAAGGAGTTGAGTGAGCAAATAAGATGTTCTTTTCATGACAGTAGCTCTTTGCCCGTTCATCGAAGAAGATGATGAACCTGGTTTGGGGTGAAAAGAGTAGCTATAAGAACCCTTAGGAGAAGAGATTGACTCCATAAGAGATGCTCCAAGCCGAGAACACATAGACAGAGAAAGCCATTCACAGTTCCCTCTTTCATCACAGTCACTTGCTGAGAATTGCAGGTTCATAAGATGTACTTCTCTCCAGGTGAGTGAGTTTTAGTTTATTCAAAACCTTATGATGCAATAACCAGGCCCTTAGTAGGAATAAAAACAGCATTTGCCTGCAATTCTTGTCTCTCCAATGCACTCGTCACACTGTATAAAGAAATCCAAACCCCTATTTATCACTCCTTTCTGAACTCATCTATAATTCAATAGACACTAAGAACCTTCACACAATGAAATGGCTCTCACTGAGGAATTACGCATATCACCTGGATGCAAAAGAGAGTACACTTTTCAAATCTATTTCATGGAACTCCAAGAGCTGTCTGAATTGTTTACGGGGAAAGAAAAATGAGGTTTATATGTTCTGCTAACCATGTAGAGAGTATGAAAGTCTACAGTGGAAAGAAAAGTGAAAGAAGTAAAATTGATATAACAGGAAGAAAGGAGGGGCAGAAAGCAATCTGGAAAAATGATCGAGTCTTAATTTCTGAAACCAGTAGTACTGTAAATATACTGTTTCAAATGTGAGTCTGAAAGACCCATTCAGGGAAAAAAAAATCACCTTTTTATACCACATTCATACTCAGATTGGTTTTTATTTAATATGGGTGAGAAGGTAAGGGACGGAGTTATAATGAAAATGGAGTACAATACCAAAAGAAAATAAGAGACCTTGCAGGAAGATGCAAGGCTAAAGGATGAACTAGAACAGAGTAAACAGCCACCTGGTAAACATGAGAAAATTCTCGCTTCATTTCCGTCAGCAGCAGCTCTTACATCTTTTACAACTGGAGACCTTCCCCCAGCAAGAGACTCTAAAGACACAGGACTGAATTAATTCCCAACACATGCTTTTCTTCTACGCCCTTATCTGGATGCGTCATCCTCCTTTGAAGCAAAAGACCCATTAATCCAATTCAAATTGCCAACATCAGTAAATCCTTTGCCTCAGCATTTAAATGCCAATACCAATTAAATACCAACAGCAACTTAACTACTGATAAGATCTTCACTACATTCAGGAAATCCAGCCAGAAGTCCAGCTAGCATTGATTCCAACCCTCCTTCATCAATTCTAATTTACTCAGTGCAAAGAAATGAAGTAATTTGCTGTCCACACTGACTATGCATCTAACTGGATTGAAACAACTCCACAAGCAAATAAGAAGGAACACATTGAGTTGCAATCCACCAAACCTGAAGGATGTCTTCACCAAGACTTCTGGGCTATCCAGCTGTGGCAATTCATCAGCTAGGATTTCTTCTGGGGGTCGAGGGTCATGGACAATTGTTGGCCGTGGCTTCTCCTTGACATTCCCTGTGAGCCCGTCGATGAGGGAGTTCCACAGACAGTTCTGTGACTTAGACCCTGAGGCATAGGGAAAAGAGAGATGCAGGTGAATCATCCACCAGTTGACTCCATGTCCTGCCTTCCCCAACTCAGGATCTTCCAAAGCAGAGCAGGGAAATTTATGTATTTCTCATCATCTCCACCAACATTAGAGAGCTGTAACCAGGAATTTTTACATTTATATGTAGAAAATAGGCTACCACTCTGAGTATTTTGACTCAAAGCTAAGTTATTGGATATATCTTGTCTCATTGCAGTGGTGATCAGCCCTAACTCTTGACAGAGCCACAGGTATCTATTTAGATGTTTAGTCAGCAATTGGAAGTATATAAAGCACTACCATTTTAGGGAACAGTGAGGATGTTCAAACACAAGTCTCCCCTATAAACTCGACTTGCCTGAAGCCCAAGACTCCATTCTATGGAGACATGCACCCCAAAGAGGGCACCACCTTTAAGAACTAGAACTCACAATCAACAGGTTGATTCTTCTACAATATCAAGACCCAGGAAAATTACATGTATGTTCATGCATGTAAAACTTCAAACCTGTGAGATAAATGTTAAAGGTGGGCATCAAGTGAAAGCGGTGTCTACAAAAGGAGAGCCTGATCCGCCAGATGATCAAGGTCGAACTCAACAGTGAGAAGTTGTGCTGACAGTGTGTGCCCTTGATATGATGTCATGAAAATGTCACTTTGCTCTGTGTAGTAGGCATGTTTCTAGCTTCCATAAACTTGATGCTGTAACATCTGCCCTACATGCATGTGCCCAACACAGCTAGTTCTGGACAACCAATAGTATGCCTGAGTCACCTGACCTTGGCCTCCTGTCTCCCTTGTTGCCCCACTCTCCTCGAACCCCCAACTCCTCAGGGAAAGTCCTCCTTCCAGGGGTGTGCTTTTAAAACACAAACCGGCCAATCCAGAGTCCACACCCCAACTACCTCCCTTGTAGGATTTTCACACCCCTGGCCACTCTCCACTGGGCCTAATCACCCCAGGGCCTGGTACCAGGCAACTAGGTATTAGGCAGCCCCTAGGCTCCAGCCCCCCGAAATCATTCAGACCAGTCAGTCCCAACCCTGCTTACCCTGCCTTGCCTGTTCCTTCTTGCAGAAACCACCACAAAGGTTCCTGCCCACAATGTCCCACCCCCACCTCCTAATTGACACCAGTGCTTCCCGAGACGGCCCCATAACATGACATGGAAGCCCTCTCTTGGGAACTGTGGGTAACAAATTCTCTTTACAATGGCATTTGTCTCCTTATCTGTTGACCTTACCATACCTAAACAGAAATAAAACTTATTAAACAATCAGTCTAAAACACCAAGTCTAGTCATGGAGAAAACATTAGATAAACCACTTGAAGAACTTGTGACAGAACACCTGACCAGCGCTCTTCAAAACAGCCAAAGGCACCAAATACTGTTGAGCCTCCATATCCATGGGTTCCATGGATTCAAACAACTAAAGAAGGAAAATATTCAGAAAAAAAATGCATCTGTAGAGAACATTCACAGACTTTTTTGTCATTATTCCCTAAACAATACAATAACTACTTATTATACTTAATTATAATTATTAAAATTAAATTATTAAAATTATTATTTTAATAAAATTTTGTTATTTTAATAAAATTTTGTTATTTTAATAAAATTAAATTATTAAAATTTATTGCTATTGAAATTATTATTTACTTAATATATTATTCCTTAAATAATATAATAACTATTTAGTTAATATTTACATTGTATTAGGTATTACAAGTTATCAAAAGTGAATTAAAGTATATGGGAGGATGTGTATAAGTTATATGACAATACTACATCATTTTATATCAGGCACTTGAACCTCTGAGCATTTTGGTACCTGAGGGAACCAACCCCCTTGGAAATAGAGGGACTAGCGTATAAGGAAAGTCTGAAAAACTATCACAGCCAAGAGGAGTCTAAAGACATGATGACTAAATGTAATGTGGCACCCTAGATGGGATCCTGGAACAGAAAAAGGACATTCAATTAAAAACTAAAGAAATCTGAATACCGTGTGGATGTTCGCTGCTCAGAATGTACAGATATTTGTTCATTAACTGTTACAAATGTACCAAGCTAATGTAAGAGGTTAATAATGCAGGAAACTGGGTGCAGGCTGTATAAGATCTCTCTATTATCTTTGCAATTTTTCTGTATATTTAAAACTGTTCTAAAATAAAAATTCATAAAAATAAAAGTAAATAAAAATCATAAATAAATCATAATTAATTAAATATTATTTTAAAAGTCTATGAGCAAAATATTTTTAAGTAGAGCCTGATGATATTACCATTACCATTAACCCATTGTCATTGGTTTGTGCTGGTTATGTCTACCCAGATAAAAGAAAAAGTTTGTCTTTACACAAAGACACTGTCAGGTCAAGTGAACAGGCCACCCATAGAATGGGAGAATATTTTTGCAATCTACATATCTGACAAAGGTCTAATATCCAGAATTTACAAGGAACTTAAACAAATTTACAACCCAAAAAAAAAAAAAAAACCATTAAAAAATGACTAAAGTATATGAACAGACACTTCTCCAAAGAAGACATTTACATGGCCACCAAACATATAAAAAAAGCTCTACACCACTGATCATTAGAGAAATGCAAATCAAAACCACAATGAGATACCATCTCATGCCAGTCAGAACAGCAATTATTAAAAAGTCAAGAAGCAGCCAGGCACAGAGGCTCATGCCTGTAATCCCACCACCTTGGGAGGCCAAAGCAGGTGGATCACCTGAGGTTGGGAGTTCAAGATTAGCCTGACCAACATGGAGAAACCCTGTCCCTACTAAAAATAACAAAAATAGCCAGGCATGGTGGTGCATGTCTGTAATCCCAGCTATTTGGGAGGCTGAGGCAGGAGAATCGCTTGAACCCGGGAGGCAGAGTTTGCAGTGAGCCGAGATCATGCCATTGCACTCCAGTCTGGGCAACAAGAGCAAAACTCCATCTTAAAAAATAAATAAATAAATAAAATAAAGTCAAGAAGAAATAGATTCTGGCGAGGCTGTGGAGAAATAGGAACACTTTTCCACTGTTGGTTGGAGTGTAAATTAGTTCATCCATTGTGGAAGACAGTGTGGTGATTCCTTAAGGATCTAGAACCAGAAATAAACCATTTGACCCAGCAATCCCATTACGGGTATATACCCAAAGGAACATAAATCATTCTACCATATAGACACATGTACACATATGTTTATTGCAGCACTATTTACAATAGCAAAGACATGGAGCCAACCCAAATGTCCATCAATGATAGACTGGATAAAGAAAATGTAGCACATACACACCATGGAATACTATGCAGCCATAAAAATGAGAATGAAATCATGTCCTTTGCAGGGACATGGATGAAGCTGGAAGCCATCATCCTCAGCAAACTAACACAGGAACAGAAAACCAAACACCACATCTTCTCATTCATGAGTGGGAGTTGAACAATGAGAACACATGGACACAGGGAGGGGAACAACGCACACCAGAGCCTGTTGAGGGGTGGGGTTTAGGGGAGGGAACTTAGAGGACAAGTCAATAGGTGCAGCAATCCACCACAGCACACGTATACCTATGTAACAAACCTGCACATTCTGCACACGTATAGTGGAACTTAAAGTAAAATAAAAATAGAATAATATAAAATAACAATAAATAAAAATTTTTAAAAAAAACCACCGTCAGATCACTAAGCCATGCACCACAGAGCTGTGTCTATGCAAAATACTGGATTTTTCTAATTCACAAAGGCTCCATATGGGGCATGAGGGATGGGCATGAAGGAGTGAGAAGCAGAGCGAGCTAACACACACCATGCATGGGATAGGCAGATAGAGAATGGATTTGTGTGCACATGGGGATTCCTTCCTGAGACCTTGGCCAGCCACCTGCAGCCCCCCACAGAAGAAATCACCCTGGCTTGTTGTGCCAGAAGGACAGCTCTGCCAGGAAGATTGAAAGAACCTCACGCACAACAGGGAGTGCCTCACATGGATCCCTGAGCCTACAAGCAAGGACACCCATGGGTCAGCAAACAGCTCTTTCAATGCCCATGCCATAACTGACCTCCCTTGGGGTGTCCATCCAAACTGCTTTTGTGTCTATCAAGAGAAAATTAAAGTGCATCAGTGGAAGGAAACAGATTCCTCAAACCCCTGAAAGACAAGACAGCTTTTTTTTGTTTTTTAAAGGCCCTACACATATATCTTAATAAGATCTGGTCCTATTAATGAAGTCTGGTTCTGTGTTAATGAAGATCAGTTCTATGTTAATGAAGGTCTGCTTCTGGGAGGAAGGACAAGAACAGCAGCCTGTTGAAGGCCTTACAATAAAGTTCCTGCACATCCCCCTTTATTCCTTCATTTTTTTCATTCAGTAAACACATACTGAATTCCCTCAATGTGCCAGGTTTCATTCTTGGCCCTAGAAATGGAAAGATGAATGAGACTGGTTCCCAAGGGAACCCACAAGTAATCACAATAAATTGGCAATGCACCATAACTGAAGGGCAAACAGAGGGCTATGGGACCCAGAGGAGAGCTCACTCACTCTGCCTCGGGGCCCTGGGGAAAAGCACATGGAGAACATGACATTGGATATGGTCTACAGCATGAGACACTCTTCAGCAGGTAGAAAAGAGGGGAAAACAATCAGTGCAGACAGCATATGCAAAGGCTTAGAAGCATAACAAAGCAGCTCCTGAGGCTGGCACGAAGCCACAGGGGCAGTGTCCAGAGATCGGGTCAGAGGCCTGTTGGGCCATTTGCAAAGTGCCTTGAATAAAATGCTACTCATTTAAGAATTTATCCTCCAAGCAATAAAAAGAAAGAAAAGACAGATTTTTGAGCAAGGTTGTGGTGACACAGCCATATCTGTGTTTCAGAGAGGAGACTACTGTGCTGTGGAGTAGCGACTTATGAGGAATGGTAGGCTTATAGGAAGAGCTTATGAATCCATAGGGTGCCATGCATTTA